GTTGGAGTATCAGCAGTGATAGTAATAACGTTAAAAAAGCCCAAAAGCTGTTCTCAGCTCTGTACATTTGCCATCAACGGGCCTCTCTTCCCTCCCCCAAAAAATTTTGTAAACATAAATATTCTATTAAGTTGAAAAAGAAACAAAGTGTGGGAGTCTGGAAGGTAAAAATACTTCAGATATTGGCTTCATTAGTATTTATTGTTAACCATACTTGGCTCTGTACAGAACATAGATTAGGTAAGGTCCCTCAAGAAGCCTACAGTCTAGGTATTGTATTTATTTGAATTAGTAAAAATTGTCTCTTCAAGACTCAAGTTATTTTATAGTCAGTCATTCTACATTGATCCAAACCCATTAGATTGGAAAAACATCAAGGTGACAATATTCAGAAAACGTGTTAGGCCACGCCCAGAGGGATTAGGGTTGGGGTGGGAGGCTGAGGAGAGAGTGAGTCTTTAGAACTGAGGAACTGCCACAGTTTAGTTAGTTCTTGAACAACAAAAAAATCACTCCAAATAAGATTAAAGCAATGCTTCATTGAACCAATCGAAAAAGGTTGCAACCGTTTCTTTTGGTTCAGACTTTGTCTCAGTTTCAAACCTTATACTTTTTTTAATTTGAATCTTTATCTCAAGCTCTGTTAAATGAACTTCAATTTGGTTTTCGTAGCCTTTTGCTAAGAAGAGTGTAGAACTGAGGTGAAACCAATGAACTAGGATACACTGTTTCCACGAAGTAAGCAGATTGGTGTGCATGAGAGAGGGGACTGGCACTCGAGTGTAACAACATAGGGTGTGTGAATTGCTAACCTGCAGAGGGAAAGAGCCCAGAGCAGAGCAGCCAAAAGCCACTAGCTGGAGACAATTTCCTTTAGTGGGCACAGTCAGGGCTCCCTCCTGCTGTAAGCAGGTGGTAGTGATTTACCCCCGATACTTCAGGCAACCCCCAAAAAAGTCACAGCCAGGAGCTCCACTTGCCGCTGTTTCTTTCCACCAGCTCTGCTCCCCTGTTTCTTGCCCCATCCTCCTCACAGATATCCCAAATTTTCCTAGACCTTCTATCGCAGCCCAGCATCCCCATGTTTCCTCCATGGCTTCCCTCAACACCCACATTCTAGCTCCTTTCCCCCCATTCACAATCCCTTTCTTCCACAATTCCCACAGTCATATCCCTGCTCCCCACCATGCTTCCTACTCTTCTACCTCATTCAGCTTTTAAACACTGACACATATCAATACTGATTCTTTCCAGATGTCAAGATGAATTCTGATCAGTGTTGATTTCCTCTGGAATTTGTACCTAACTTTATCAGCCATGCAAAGAAGAAGAAAGGAAAAAAAGAAAGAAAGGAGAGTGGGAGGGGATTGTTCCTCCAGCAATAGATCTACTTCAAACAAACAAAAAACAGTACACATGCTTACTTTGCAAATCTATATTACTACCGATTAGCAAAACCTCCTGGCCTAATGATCCCTTTACAAATTACAGGAGCTATTACATTAACTTCATCCATCTGTATTTTAGAAGGTGGCATTTCAAAAAATACTTGTCTTTGTAGTAGCACTTAGAACATGAATGAGTCACTGAGATGATTAAACCTAAAGATATATACTACGTTCCTTGCCTTCCTGTATCCCAAGAAAAAATTATCCTTCCAAAATTTGGGGAAATGTTCCTAGATTCTGAGAGAGAACTGTTATCATTACAGAGGAGTAACAGACTACTGTATATTTTGATGATGGAAATTTTTAATCCTCTGAAGGTTAATAAATCTTCATCTACCAAAACTTCATAAAGTTAATTTCACTTTAAGTCAATTACAAGTTTAATTTAGAGACTGAACTGTGTTCACTATCCTGTATCACATTTAAAATATCAAAAGGCAGAGAAGGGTGATAAAGAGTTCATGGTGTTCAGATAACCGCTTGCTGAGACAAAGTTAACAGGTTCAAAAGTACCTGACTGCCTTCTGCCATAGAGAAATACCCCAAACTGTCATCTTGTCAGATCTCATATGCAAAGGCTGCACGAGTGCTTGCAATGGGAGACTTTTAGGCGAAAATAGATGATGTTGCAGCAAACAGTCCTAGTAAATGTGTACATGGGACCTTTTCCTCCTTATCCTATATACCTTTTATTCCTTGTCACCCAACCCCACCTCTCACTTGAGCATCTGTATCTTCCTACTGCTAGTCCCTAGCCTGCCAGTCAGCATAAAGCGTTCAATGTTTGACATCAACCTAAAATTTTAATTTTTGTTTTAATTTTTCCTGGTAGGGTTTGAGCAAAATCCAGTCAGACATTTTTGGATTAGTTAAGTGGGAAGAAACATCTTCTTCTACTATTAAATAGGCCATTTTTATGCACAAAAAACTTGAAAACAGACGAACTTAAACATAATGCTATATGTGGTTAACCCTCACTGAGGAACTGTAATTGTTTTCTGGAACTAAAGCATGCGCTTGCTCCCTGCTGGGAAATTCCAAGCACCTTAAACTGAAAATAAGCATTAATTGAAGTGTTTCAAATAGGAGAGTGGATAAAAAGAGATTTTTTATTTTTAATTAAATACAAGTTTCTTTTTTAAAAACAAACCTATTTGAAATTGACAACTTATGTTAAGGCCTAAATTCATTATAATATATATTAAAATCATTTAAATTAAATGCAAAAAATAATATTAATCAGTATATGTCTGCTGGCAAGTTTTAAAGAAAGTCAAACCATTGAACTGGTGGAAGTCACTGACTGAGCACCAACAAATTATGGTTCCAGAAGTGCTAAACCAGCTTTTGAAAGCAGTAGGCTCTTCTGCAGGTGCAGAGAGAATATCTTCTTTGTTTCAGTTTATTCAACTAGTTCAGTTCAATGACTATTGCATTCAAAGTTAAGAAGCCAATTTGGATTTGTAAAAGCAGGAAAGCTTGTTTTCCACTTCCAATCTGTACATTAAAAACTAGATGTAAAAAGATAAGATCTTCTAGTTATAAAATCTTGCAGGACAAGGTGACCAAAAACAATTACTACTTTTGTTTAATAAGGTCTTGTGCACCCTACACAGTTTCTTCAACAAGAGCCAGCTTTTGTCGACACAAAAGAGGATGTATACACACTAAATTTAATGCTCCTCCCACCAACTCCCCTGCTATGCTGACATAATAAAATCACCTCAAGGAGAGGTGTAGGGCTTATGTCGGTGTAGTTAGGGTGATGCATGTCTGTGTAGACACTACGTTTCTTACATCTGCTGTTGGCTGTCGTTCATGTCAATTTCATGGCTCTAGCTCAGGCTCCTGCCCGGTCTCCGTTCCAAACCAGGCCGCCACCCAGGCTCCTGGCTTGGGCTGCTGCCAAAGCTCCCCACTCCCTGCCGGGAACATGGCAGTTGACCGGACTCTGGGTGTGGATCTCTGCACTGGAGGCGAGAATCCCTGGGTGGCTTCCCCCGGCTCCCAGCTGGGAGTGCGGAGGCCAGAAGCCCAGGGCGGCAGCTGGGCTCCTGGTGGGGAAGTGTGTGGAGCTGAGCCCTGGCTCTCAATCCCCCACACTGCCCCTCTTCATGCCCCTCTTCAGTCAGTGGAAGCACTCCTGGTGAGGACGCACACCACCAGCAGAAGAAGGGTAGTGTGGACATCAGCCACTGCAGCAATTAATGCAATGGCTGTAAGTCAACCTAACATAGGTCAACTTGTCTACACTCTCCTTAGGAAAAAGCAATGAAAACCAAATTAAAGTTTATTTAACAGAGCTTGAGATAAAGATTCAAATAAAAAAAGTATAAGGGCTTGGAAACAAAAGGTTATAATTACAAGAAAAACAAAAAACACAATATATAACCTATACTTATTAACAAGTTACTTTCCTGTCTAGTAAGGTATTTCTCACCCACTGGTTCTTTCAGTGCTCGTCCAAGGAGGTGAGATCCACTGTTCATGAGACAACTCTCACTGGCAGAGTTATTCCTCTGTAATGGATAACTATTTGGGCCATTTCTTCTCGTATACAGTCACAAGCTATTGTCGCTTAGCCCAGGAGGCCGCCTCTTCGAAGAACTCTTCTGGGGTTCATTTGTCTTTATAAACCTCCCGTCTGCATCTACTCCAGATGGTAAACATAAGCCCCGTCCATGGATGTTCAATGTCCTTATGTTGATTAGGTCAGCTCTTCGACTTCCCCTTCTCAGGTGATAGGTTTCACTCCCAACCGATTTGAAACATAATTTCCTTCATGTCACATAGCTCTAAAGTTGTTTTCTGTATAAATATTTCTCATTAACCATGACAATTGGCTAGTTCTTAGCTTTTAGCAGATACCACAAGTCACCCTCTTTGGTGAAATATTGAGAAGATAGTCGGACATGGGTAATACACGCGCTTGGGCCTGTCTGCGTTACACTGCTCCCTACCGGCCTGCTCAGGCACTTTTCTCATCATGGTGGCAAATCTTCCCATGCTAGTTGTCATTGTTAAATTGTAACAGTGATTGTAAACAGCACATTCTGTGATCTTAGAGAAGAAAGGGAGAAAGGAAGTGGGGTAGTAATGGGAAAGGCAAGCAATAATGCTGTTGGGAGCCTTTATGCACCCATGCCATGGGGCAGAGCTACTAGGTTTACCTCCCGCTGCTCCGGGCCCCTGCACAACCACAAAACCCCAGGCCACTTGCACTTTTCTGCTAAACCATCTTGTCTCTCCAAAGCCCCCCCTTATCCCCTCATGCCACTGTAGGTATCTTTCTCCCCTCTGTTATAGCCCTTTATTCTCTGCTGCCCACTCAGTCTCCTTGGCTCACCAGATGTGTGTATGGAGCACAGCTGGGGATGGGAAATAGGTAGCTGAGGTGTCTGAGTAGTTCATAGATTTTTAAGGCCGGAAGGGACCATTGGATCAGCTAGTCTGACCTTGACCTTCTGTCCACTATTCATTGGGTAGCTCAAAACTTGTTCTGAATAAGAGGAATAACTTCTCTTTTTATGTATATAATTTTTAACGTTTCAGAAATGGATTCAGATTGGGACATTGAAAGAATGTGTGTGACATCTGGAGTTTGTGAGGACTGATTTTTCAACTCAAGGAGTCCAAAGAAATATTGGGAAAACAGCAACATTTAAAAATAAGAGCATTTTAAAATGTTTCCTCTGGAAAAGTTAATTTTACTAGGAAAATTGTGCAGAAAATTCTGTTGTCCACTGAAGACTTATTACGCAAAATTTGTAGACTAAAGGTAGGTTTCCAAAAGTGCTTAGTGCAGGCCTAATTCTTCTCCTATTGAAGTTAATAGGGGTTTTGCCATTTACTTCAGCGGAAGCAAAGTTAGACCAATGTTGAACTCTTCTGAAAACTCTACCCTAAATTTAATCTTTTAAAGCATTTTACTCCAGCTTTAATTTCAAATTTCTGTGCAATTTCTGTCAAGTTACCAGTGCCTCCATAATCCATGTATTGTGTGTGTGTGTGTGTATACAAATAAACACATTTTTCCTTAATGTTTTGATGGAGGTTCTTTCTGAGTCTGGGGGCTCCAGACTCATGTTGTGCTATGCCCGGTGAGAATGTAGAAATGGCAGATTCTTGTTTGTAAAATACTATGCTTCATCATGACCTTGACCAGTGACCTGTGCGCAATGTCTGATTTATTGAAAATATGTTTAAAAAGGTGAAAATTAATAATGTTATGAGGAAATATTACCATATATGTGTGCCATTTTATAAATTACCATATCTTGGCTGTTTCATTAACTGCTAAAAGATATCTGTCTAAGCTAGGATAAAGTGGGGCTTTGTGCCTGGAATTTTTTTTTTTTTTTTAAACATATGCCAGTATTTCACCAGAACATGACACAAGAAGCTGGGAGTGGAGAAAGGAGGTCAGAAACGGGAAATTGTTTTTCACTTGCACTAAGGGAGGGCTTAACTAACTTGAACTAATTTTGTTATAACAAATGGATTTTGGAAGCGGAAAATGTGTGTATTGTATATCGGACTAAATTGAATTTAAACAAGTGAGTTACAGATCCCTTGAAAGTGATTTATAATATGCTGATGTATTCATAACTAGAACAGCACTGCTGGGCAAGGCTAAAATGAATCATGAAATATTACTGCTATCTAGTGTTGTAAATACGGTTTTTTAAAAAAATCAAGATTTGACAGTTTGTCCCTTTTCTAATGTGTGGATTGAAAGATGCATCCCTTCAGATTAAGGGCAGGGTTCTGAATAGTACGCAGTTAGTGACATTATGAAACAGTAATTCTAGCACAGCTGTTTTATTATGTTAAGACTGGCCGGTTCCCAGGACTTCTGAGAAATGGCAAATTTAACTTGCCAAAATGGCAACCACATGCACTAACCTATTGCCAGTTTTCTTGGGCACCTTGCCATAGTCTATACAATCCCAACAGTTTTCATAGTGATCAGAATTTCAAATGAGTCAATATTGGCAGCAACATCATTTTGAGTAAACAACTCTGATATTCTGTGGCGTCCTCATTCAAAAGATACAGGCTTTTCTAATGAGCAGCTGCTGCTGAGGCCAATCTCAGAAGTCGTTGGTGACACTGTATTGTTTTTGAAAAAATTGCACTCCACCTGCCTGGTTTAATTGCTTTCGTGTGTTCAAGTGGAAGAAGGAAAGAGGAAAATGTTTATGCATAGTTGGATTTGATTCAGTGTCAAGGTTAAGGGATAAATTACCATTTCCATTGGTAAACCTCAAATTATCCTACTAGTATTCTTTGTGCCAGGTATTAAAAAAGACTGGTCTTCTGGCATGCATTGTCCATCCTTCTATAACTGTGGGGAAACACAGATGTGAACTGTTCCTATGATTTTAATTCAACTTTAGTAACCATATTAAGGAAAATCTTCAGCCTCTAAAGACCTTTGACAGAGAATTCTGCAGGAGCAGGGCTGAAAAATGTTTGGCTCTAGAATCAGGACCATGCTTTGGAAATAGATTTAAGCTTCATCAGCACTGAGCTGTAGAAATGCCAGGCTGAGGTTGGAGCCAAGAGAGTAAAAATTGAACTTTGGTTCAAATTTAGTTTTAATTAGCAGCAGAGAAGTCCCTAATCTCAGTGTGTGTTAACCAAGATTTTTACAGATCCCACAGGAATGTCACAGTTGCAGGGACAATGTCTCTATATATGTTTGTACGGGGCATTGCAGAATGGGGGTGCAGTGTTGGTTTGGGTCTTTGGATGCTATTGCAATATAAACATTTAAATAATGTACCTGTTTTAAAAAAGCTTGTAAATGAAAAGAACCCTGCAATTTTGGAATGTTATTCTCTTAGTAAAGAGGCCAAAGTGTCTTCTGTTTTATTTCTTTCTGTAAATGTATGTGTAAGTATTGTTGTTATTTTTAAAAATTAAATTTTAAACAAAAATTATATTTAAAATAAAACACAAACACTTTACCGTGTATTTAGTGTTGGTGAATGGCATTGAAGTGCCAAACTAGGGAGTGAAGGGACTGTCTTTATTCACAGAAGAGATACAGCACATACACTGGGATAGTGCAGGCTTTCCTCACAGGTCCAGATAGGACCAACTCAGAAGTGACAAGGGTATTTCAGTCTTGGTCCTCCTTGGAGAGCTACCAAACAAAGTGGCAATTAATGGCAGTTGACATTGCAGTTTCTGTGATATGGACATGTGACCGCTAGGAACTGGGCCAGTATTTACCATATCTATTTCACCATATCTATTTCACATCTATTTATTTCTCTGAATGTTCATTAGGTGGCCATAACCAAACCAATCTGGATTTGAACCAATGACCTAAAGGTGAAAGGCTCTGATTCTCACTATCAATCCTCTGAGCCACAGCTCCTTTTAAAGAACATGAATAAAGTATTAATTTACTCTGTGTGTTAACATTCTTTTTTTGCTGCTGTCTTTCAGGGTTGTACGAAGTGGCAGACCTTAGAGTGTGAGTTTGGGGCCTTCCGTGGTATTTGAGCGAATATTGTTGCCTGATTCTGAATGATGTCAGAACAGGATTTGGCAGATGTGGTTCAAATTGCAGTGGAAGACTTGAACCCAGATCATCCAGGTACAGTAGGGGGTAGCATTGACACAAGGAAGAGCAGTAAAATGTTATTTTCTAAACAGGGAATAAAAATCACTGTTGGGCTCATTTTACAAATTCAAAATGGTACAAAAGTTTCCTAGAGAATTTAATTCTGCCTTTAAAAATGAGTTTGTTAACATTACATTCCAGTAACTTTATCAACATGGCCTGAATTTTCCTTCTAGAACAGTTTTTTTAACATTTTGCATTTAACATCTTTAAAAATAGAGGGCTATATCCTCTCCCTGTTCTTTGTACAGAAGTAGTTTTGTGTAAAAAATCTAGGGTTAAACATTGCCTACAGTAAGTTTTTCTTCTTGCTGAGCATCTTTCTCAGGCTTTCCTCCAAATGAGAATTGCTACCCAACAAGTTATGAACCATAGCTTTATAGTTGGTGTTTATTATTTCTTCCTTTACATGATTGAAATTCTTTGTATTGTACCAAAGTGGTAGCAGATTGAAATCACCTCCAAAAGCATTATTGTGACATTCGTTGTTCTTGAGAGTGAGTTTGTTAAAGGAAAATGTCAGTATTGGATGCTAGTTATTGGCCTCAATCCATATATGGAGGTAGTGGGTCTATGTGTATGTGTAAATGTGTGGAGGAGCATTTGTAGGATTGTGCCCATAATTTGGGAAGACACTGATGTTAACAAGGCCCCATTCCTGCACTCAGAATCACATGGGTGAACGAACCTCTGCACTAATGAAGAACTCCAATGAAGCTGTTTGGGTTCTGCATGTGTGCAGTGGTTTACCTATATAGTTCTCATAGCAAGACTGGGGACTAGCTTTGGAATGCGGTATTAGATGATATGAGGAAGCAATGAAACACCGAAGACATTGTAAGCCTATTTGGTACACTTTTTTTCTTGTTTTTGTCCAATATATATATTTAGGACATATTACTTGTTTGCGGGGAGCTATGTTATTTATTTAACTTAGGTTTCTGCAAGATTTATTAATGCCAAATGCATCGTCGTGAATAGATGTTAATATCCAAGTGCCTAGATGCTTTGATAGGTACCTTTAAACAACAAATGTAAATAAAGAAAATCTAGAATAAGAGAGGTCACAAAAACGTTATATTGGTACATCAATACTTTTTTGATGAAGTTTTAAAAAAAGGTGAGAGGTATGTAGTATACAAATGTAATTTATATACTAGTGATTATTTTAATTTATAGTATTAGAGTTTGTTTGCTGTAAAATGCTATATCCATGAAAAAGATCTGGAACATTCTTGAATTTTTTCGAGTAAACATGGTTTTACATCAACATGAGGAAATTCACAGCTGAGTGTAGATCTTAAGAAGGCTGAATATTTAAAATATATTTCTCAAAAAACAGACTACAAATCCTGTAGAAATCATCAAAACATAGGGCTGGAAAGGACCTTGAAAGGACCCTGTGCTGAGGCAGGGCCAGGTATACCTAGACCATCCCTGACAGGTGTTTGTCTATCCTGTTCTTAAAAACCTCCAGTGATGTGGATTCCACAACCTCCCTTAGAACCTTATTCCAGAATTTATAGTTAGAAAGTTTTTCCTAGTATCTAATTTAAATCTCCCTTGCTGCAGATTAAGCCCATTACTTCCTTGTTCTGTTTTCAGTGGACATGGAAACCAGTTGATCACCATCCTCTTTATAATGGATCGTACCATATTTGGAGACTGTTATCCGGTCCCATCTCAGTCTTCTTTTCTCAAGACTAAATATGCCCAGTATTTTTAATCTTTCCACATAGTTCAGATTTTCTAAACATTTTGTCATTTTTGTTGCTCTTTTCTGGGCTCTTTCCAATTTATCCACATCTTTCTGAAATTGTGGCACCCAAGAAGTGGACATAGTACTCCAGCTAAGATTTCACATTTGCTGAGTAGAGAAGTACAGTTACCTCCGGTGTCTTACATATGACACTCATGTTAATGTATCCCAGACTGATATTGGCCTTTTTTTGCAGCTGCATCACATTGTGGACTCATTTTCAATTTGTGATACACTATAACCCCCAGATCCGTCTCAGCAGTACTACCACCTAGCCAGTTATTCCTTATTTTGTAGTTGTGCATTTGATTTTTAGCTTCCCTAGTGTAGTACTTTGCACTTATCTTTATTTAATTTCATCTTGTCGAATTCAGATCAATTCTCCAATTTGTCACAGTAATTTTGAATTCTAATCCTGTCCTCCAAAGTGCTTGCAATCCCTCCCAGCTTGGTATCATCTGCAACTTTTATAAACATATGCTCCACACCATTATCCAAGACATTAATGAAAATATTGAATAGTACTGAACCCAGGACAGATCCTGTGGGATGCCACTAGATATGTCTCCCCAGTTTGATAGCGAACCATTGATAACTGGTCTTTGAGTTCGGTCTTTCAACCAATTCCATCTAGAACAACTTTGCTTATGAGGATGTCATGTGGGACTGTCAAAAGCTTTTACTAAAATCAAGATATATCATGACATGCTGCACTCAGCATTTCAATGTTTCTCTTTATGAATACGCCATTAGAATTATTTCATAATTTCTCATAATATTGAGATGATTTTCCTCATTCAAAAGTAAGCGAATTACCAGTATTGCAGTAGTTTCTCTCCCTTGAGATAAGCTCACCATTATTTTTTCTAGATAATTTACATGAGATATTTAAGAAGCTAATATGCAACACATCATACTTAAGTTGTACATGGACATACCAAATATGTACAGTGCTGGATATTTTCATTAGTCCAGGTTATGTATTTTAATACTTAGGACTGACGTTGTTTCAGAGAGAAATATGAGAGCATATAATGGATCAAATAATTGAAATATTCGGTGTTCAAAAGGTGCTTTTCTTATGAAGTGCTAAGTAGAGTGCTTCCCCATTGTGAGCTGTAGCTCACAAAAGCTCATGCTCAAATAAATTGGTTCGTCTCTAAGGTGCCACAAGTCCTCCTTTTCTTTTTGCGAATACAGACTAACACGGCTGTTCCTCTGAAACCTGCCCATTGTTGTTACATTTTAAAATAAATAAACAAATAACTGCTCTGCATAAAGCTAAGTCAGGCTAGAGCTGTTTTTCTCTGTGCTGCTGGATTCTTTCAGTTCGTCACTTCACTGTCTTCATAATTTATTTTGCCCCCAGAATTGTGGTGTGACCATGCTTACTTTTGCTTGCAGTTGTATTGGAGAATCATGAGGTGACAGATGAAGATGTAGAGCCTGCTCTGAAACGCCAACGGATAGAAATTAACTGCCAGGATCCCTCTGTTAAGGTTGTGATGGTATACTTTTCTGTTGTTCAGAAGATCAGATACATGCAATTGCTTTTCTTTGGGGGAAAAAGTACGTTAAAAACAGAGGATGGAAAATAAAATATTAACAGTATATTTAAATGTGAACTGGGAGGGAGGGCGGCTGGTTACCCTTTTTGGAAATGTTTTAGAATTATTATTATTTTAATTATTTATCATTATTTGTATGACTACAGTGCTATGAGTTATGGATCAGGACCCCAGTGTACGAGGCAGAAAAAACACAGGAAAATAAAAAGGGTTTACAATCTAGGTGGTGGTGTCCGTAGTGATTGAGAAAGCAGGTAGCGGGGAGGCCTTGGGGGGGAAGGGGGAGAAGAACTCATTTTAGCTATGTTGAGCTTGAGCTGATTGATAGATATCCTTAAGGAGATCAGAGAGAGAGAGGCCTGGATTCTAGCTGAGACAGATCTGGAGTAGAGAGGTAGATCTGTGAGTCATCAGCATAGAAATGTTAGTTGAATTTGTTTTGTGCGGATGAGATCACCCAGAGATGAGGTGCAGAGGGAAAAGAGAAGGGGACAAGTACGGAGTTCTGTGGATCCCACATGGAAAGCTGTAGAGGGGGATGAGGAAGACCCTCCTAAGGACACAGTGAAGAAGTGATTTGAGGTAGGAAGAGAACCATGAGTGGAAGTCAAAGAAGCCAAGTGAGGACAAGATTTCAAGAATATGTGCATGGTTGACGTGTTGAAAGCAGCTGTGACAGGTCAAGGAGATGAAGATGAAATACTGATTTGAGCTTTAACTCGGAATATATCATTAAAGACTTTGGCGAGAAAAGTTTCAGTGGCACGCAAGGAACAAAAGCCAGATTGGAGAGGGTCTAAAATGGAACTGGAGCGGAACTTCAGACAGTGATTGTAAACAGCACATTCAGGGATCTTAGAGTTGAAAGGGAGAAAGGAAGTGGGGTAGTAAAGGGAAAGGCAAGCTGGGTCATGGGTGGGAGTTTTTAAGATGGGAGAGACTGAATACTGCTTGTTTGTATGGGGAAAGAGCCAGAGGAGAGTGAGAGGTGAATGAGAAGAATAAAGGAGGGGATGAGAGTAGGCATGAAGAAGATGGGATGGGATGAGATGAGGTCACTGGGATTAGGGGAGGAGAGAAGATGAGAACCTTCTGCCTCCCTGACAGGAGAAAAGGAGAGAATTGTAGGTGGAGAAGGAAAGGCAAGCTATGGGGGAGGGGGAAAGTCTCATCAGATTTTGTCAGTTTTCTCTTGGAAGAAATTGGTGTGTGTTTTATTGGTAGTTAGCACAAACACTCATATGGCTTAAAAGCTGGAGGATTGCTAAGTACCTCATTATCTTCCAGAGCCAAATCAGCTCGGTTACCTTTTAAAAACTCTTTTAAAATTATAGTTTTCTTTGAATCAGGCCAGCCACATTTGACTTGATTTCCCTGTGCTCACAGACCTTCCCCATCTCTCCCACATATGTTTCTTATTGGTCGTGAGTATTGGTAATGTTTCAGTCTTGAGCACCAACAAACACGTAGATAATATTCTGCTGCTACACAGATTGGCGTATATAGTCTCACCTTCTTAAGATTGCCCTAGAATCTGTGAAGATCAGACAAGTCTTCCCAAATTAAGAGTGCAAGCTGGTCAGCAGCATTATCAAACAGTTCTATACTGCTCATTTTATACAATGTTTTCTGTAAGCTAGGCTAGCTGTGTAAATTTAATTTTAGATGGAGGCCACTAGGTGGCATGCTGGCTGTTTCTTAAAGTCAATTCAAGGCATATGTATTATCACTAGGGTTGTCAGTTAATTGCAGTTAACTCACGCTATTAACTCAAAAAATTAATTGCAATTAAAAAAATTAATCACTATTAATCACTATTTTAATCACACTGTTAAACAATAGAATACTAATTGAAATTTATTAAATATTTTGAATGTTTTTCTACATTTTCAAATATATTTATTTCAATTACAACACAGAATACGAAGTGTACAGTGCTCACTTTATATTATTTTAATTACAAATACTTGCATTGTAAAAATGATAAACAGAAGAAATAGTATTTTTTCAGTTCACCTCATACAAGTTTCAACTGTTTATTGTGAAGGTGCAATTTACAAACGTAGATTTTTTGTTTGTTATGTAACTGCACTCAAAAACAAAACGATGTAAAACTTTAGAGCTTACAAGTCCGCTCAGTCCTACTTTTTGTTCAGCCAATTGCTAGGGCAAACAAGTTTGTTTACATTTACAGGAGATAATGCTGCCTGCTTCTTATTTACAATGACACCTGAAACTGAGAACAGGCATTTGCACTTTTGTAGCCGACATTGCAAGGTAATTACGTGCCAGATAGCTAGACATTCGTATGCCCCTTCATGCTTTGGCCACCGTTCCGGAGGACATGCTTCCATGGTGATGACGCACGTTAAAAAAATACTACGTTAATTAAATTTGTGACTGAACTCCTTGGGGAAGAATTGTATGTCCCCTGCTCTGGGTTTTACCCGCATTCTGAAATATATTTCGTGTTATAACAGTCTCGGATGATGACCCAGCATGTTGTTCGTTTTAAGAACACTTACAGTGCAGATCTGACAAAATTCAAAGAAGGTATTAATGTGAGATTTCTAAAGATAGCTACAGCACTCAACCCAAGGTTTAAGAATCTGAAGTGCCTTCCAAAATCTAAGAGGGATGAGGTGTGGAGCATGCTTTCAGAAGTGCTCCAGAAAGTGCTTCAGTAGTGCTCCAGAAACTACAGAACCCGAATCACCAAAAAAGAAAATCAGCCTTCTGCTGATGGCATCTGACTTAGATGATGAAAATGAATATGCATTGGTTTGCACTGCTTTTGATTGTTATTGAGCAGAACCCATCATTAGCATGGACGCATATCCTCTGGAATGGTGGTTGAAGCATGAAGGGACAGATGAATCTGGCCTGTAAATATCTTGCAACCAGACATGCCAAACCCACGAAAAAAATGCAGAAATTGGGCTTGTGTTTGGCTTAATTGGCTTGTGAGTTGCTTGTTGGCCAGTTTTTCACTTGTAGCTTGTTGCTTCTTTTTTTTTGATCGGCTCCCGGCAAGCAGGGGCAAGGGGGCAGGTAAGGAGGGGAGAGAGTTAGGGGTGCATAGTGGGCCCACCACAGTCCCAGACTGCATGCTGGGGGAATCTAGTCACATAGAGTGTTGAGGTTCTTAGGGATTGGCTTGTTTTGGCCTTGTTTTGAAATGGGATTAGCTTGATTTTTGACTTATTATGAATGTTGGGGTGCTTATTTACCACATGAAAGTTGGCAACTGTGCATTGCAACGCCAACTACAGCAATGCCATGCGAATGCCTGTTCTCACTTTCAGGTGGCATAGTAAGCAAGAGGTGGGCAGCATTATCTCCCGCACACGTAAATAAACTTGTTTGTCTGAGCGATTGGCTGAACAAGACGTCGGACTGAGTGGACTTGTAGGCTCTAAAGTTTGATATTGTTTTATTTTTGAATGCAGTTATTATTTTGTGCATAATTCTACGTTTGTAAGTTCAACTTTTCTGATAAATAGATTGTACTACAGTACTTGCATTAAGTGAAATGAAAAAGGCTATTTCTTTTATTTTTACAGTCTAACTATTTATAATAAAAAATAAATATAATGTGAGCACTGTACACTTTGTATTCTGTGTTGAAATTGAAATCAATATATTTAAAAATGTCGTAAACTTCCAAAAATATTTAAATAAATGGTATTCTATTATTGTGTAACAGTGTGATTAATTGTGATTAATTTTTTTAATTGTGCGATTAATTTTTTTAATCGCTTGACAGCCCTAATTATCACTGTTTAATTACATAATTTCCTCCAGAAAAATCTTGCAGAATATGCCTTTCAAAAATGGATATATTTGCTTAGGAAAACAGATCTTGTTTCTTTCTTTGCATATGTCCAAGTTAGCTGTTTGATATAGAATTAAAGTTAGCTACACTTGTTGCCTTTGAGGTTATGTTATTTGTTTTAATGTATTGATATGATCATTCTACACATTTGTAAGCAGCTAACTTTATCTTTTTGGGGAGATCTTATCATACTTACCCATTCGTGTGTTGAAGCATGTTTATAATCTTTTCTTTTTTATGCATGAGAGCGAGCAAAATGTTTTGGCTTGTCATCTTAAACTTTGGTGTGGCAGGTGAAGTCACCTTAATAAGATGATTAGGTAAAAAATTGTTCAGTTTGGAAGCTGTTGGCTTCTAAATGAAGAATTACAGGAAGTCTATGAATGGTAATAATGCTGCTGGATTTCATCAGTTTTAAGGATGGTCAAATTTTGTGACTAGAAAGGTTGATAGTGTCCCTTGAATTGTTTGCCAATCATATTTAGGTGGCTCTTGCTATACGTATGTTCCTTAAGATAAATTTGTAAGTTTCTAAAAATGGCTCTTTTTGCCTTCTCTCCTCCTCAGTCGTTCCTGTATTCCATTAACCAGACAATATGCCTACGACTGGATAGCATTGAGGCAAAGCTGCTGGCACTAGAGGCTACCTGCAAATCGTTGGAAGAGAAATTGGACCTCGTCATGAACAAACAGCATAGCCCTATCCAAGTCCCCATGGTGGCGGGTTCTCCCCTTGGTGCTACACAGACGTGCAATAAAGTGCGATGGTAAGAAAAGAACAGGCCAGTCATCAATAAACCAATGTACCTTTTCAATACTATCCCAAATCCATCTCTCTGGCAATACCAAGCTCTGCAGCTTTATGTATACCTGTCAGGAGCTTGGCATTTTGGTTAGAATGTAGAATTAATTCATCTTGAAGGCAATTGCTGTGCCAGTTCATGACGTTACTTCTGTTTAGACTGAGACTAAACATATCACATTGGTACATGAATGGCTTGGAACTATTTCCACATTTCATTTTGATTTAGACCAGACTGATTGATTCATCCTTCCTTTGGAAAAGTCGCATCAAATATTAGATGGGTTTTTTAAGCTTTTATTTCCTTTATTTTATATTAAAATGTCTAGTTAATGTGTTTATTGATTGTTTAGGCCATATCATTCTAATCACATCTCATTTTACTTTTATCTACTACAGATTAAACAGAATTGCTTAGTTACATGTGGCTGTTCCCTAAAAGTTCTCAGGAGAATAATATCTAGTGTTTATTTCTCAGATAGAATCATAGAGGTTAGAGATGGAAAATACCTATTAAATCATCTGATCCATTTCACTGCAAATGCAGACTTGACCTACAGTATATTGACTTGTGCATTGTCCAGTATGGTTTTAAATGTCTGAAGCATTGGTAGTCCACCCCTTCACTTTGAGGATTAGTCCAGTCTAATAGATTTGACTGTCAAAGGGTTTTGTGTAATGATGAGCCTAATTTTTCCCCATTCATAATTTCATTCAGTTTTCCTAGATATGCTCCCATAAATAATTTGACCTAAATAATTAATCTCTATCCTTGTTTACAACTTTGTAATATTTATAGAGTGTTTTCATAGTCCATCTCCTCCTTGGTCAATTTGTAGCCAAGATAAACATATTTAACTTTGCTTTCATAAGTCAATTTTTCCAGCCTCTGATCGTTTTCATTACTCTTCTCTGAACTCCGACTAGTTTGTGAATATTTTTCTGACCCATGGTACTCAGAAATAAACACTATGTTCTCGGTGCACTAAAGCATTATATAAAAAAGCTATTACCGCCTTGCTTCATACTGTGAGGCCCATGAATGTACAGGTTAAAAAAACAACAACTTTGTCCTTCTTTTACTGTCATGTTGAACTGCAAATTCTGTCCAATTTTCTGGCCACTGTCATGTCTGGTTCCCCTTCAGCATTACTACTTTATAAATAAATATGTCTTTCAGCTTATATTTCCCCCAAGATACACGCTTCCATTTTTGCATTTCTGGCCTGAGGGGTGTTTGCAGCTCACATCAATTTAGTAATGGCAAACAGTTCATTAACATGTTGTTTACACCCTCTCTCAGGTTGTTAATGAAGTGGCTAAACCAGACTGGACGAAATACTGATACCTTAAAAAACCCCCATAGATTCAGATATTTTACAGACAGAAGGAACCATTACAATCATGTGATCATTCTTACTTACTGCATAACACAAGCCATATAATTCTGCCCAGTAATTCCTGCATTCATTGAGCCCAGTAACTTGTGGTGGAAGTAGAGTATATATTTTAGAAAGACATCCAGTCTTGATTTAAAGACTTCAAATGATGGATACCAGTTCCTTGGTAAACTGTTTCAATGGTTCAAATGCATCTTTATTTCTAGTTTGAATTTGTCTAGGCTTCAACTTCAACTTTAATCTACTACTGGATAGCCTGCTGGTCACACGCAGCCCAACTGACTACTTTGGGAGCAGTTGAGAGCCCAGTACTTTTGAAAACAGGCCGCTTATTTAGGTACCTAACTATGAAGTTTGGAATCTAACTTTAGGCACCCTTTTAAAAAAATTTTGGCCTCTGCTGCTTTACTGGCGATAGAAGTTACTCATAGGGGATCCATAATTGTCAGGATTATTCTTTCTTTGAAACAGGTACCTCATAATTGTCTATGATCTTAAGAAATAATTGTCAGCAATAGGTAATTCCCTTAATAACTAAGCTGCATTTATCAGACTGTGGTCTTGTATGACAGGTGCTGAAATGTTGTATGTTAAAACATTTCAAGTATCCCGTCACCTACCCTTTATCTTTATCTATTGTTACAGGGACTTCCTTTCTTATTATTCAAACTATGTATATACATGTTTCTGTTAAATACAGATTTTTTTAGAAAGAAATTCAGGGTCCTGTATATAATTTAAAACTGTCCCCTTATAATGGGCTTTATACACAAAGCATACATTTAAAAGATTTATTCACAAGTATGTGACCTGGTTAGGAACCTATTGATGGATATCCAGTGAGCATTATCCTTCATCAGTAGGTTTTTCTAATTATACTGTTTTAATTCTCTAATGAATTTAGTGTTCAACCTGAGGCTGCGTTCTCTCTGTAAGGCCATGCATGTCTGCTGTAGGCATTCCTATGAAGTTTAGCAGTTAATCTCTCACTTTAGGATTTCAGATTTTTGTGTCTGTTTTTCTGGTAGTCTGAAAACTTTTTAGGTGATGAGGCCCCTGCCACCCTGCTTCACATATACTTTTCAGAATTATAACTGTGAACTAAATGATCTTAAATACTTTGTGCATTTGTTATTAAATATCAGAGAAAGTGGATTCCGAATCCAATGATTTCCAGTTAGTGTGTGGCTAACTAAAAGCTAATAGCTTCTTCGCTGCTCAGGGGAGTAGGTAGGGGGAAGAGATACTTGGTATAGCTGTGTCTGAGTGTGTTTAAAGCATTCAGTTTGGTTTTTCTATTTTGTAGAATTACTTTTGTCCTTTGATTTTAATTAAAGATAGTTAGCATAATACCCTACAAACAGAAGCATTCCCTCCATTAATTATTTTAATGAAATATGAGTGACAGGTATAGTACATCAACTTAAAAAAGTTTAAAATTTTTGACAGCAAGTAATGAATGTTTAGGAACATCTTCAGCTTTGTTGTTAAGAAAACATTGACTTTCCCTGAAATTCAGTTCAATTTCTGGGCTATGTAACCAAAAAGAAAAATAGGAGTATATTCTCAAAGGACACATGTATTTAACTTACAGATCATTTCTGCTTTAACAAATCTTCTGGAGAGTAGGTGAAGAGCTGTCAGCTAAATACCAGAGACTCATTCACTTGGAAAGGATCCAGACCTGGTTCTGAGCCAGCCCAGCTTTGTTAATGGCTGGCTCAGTTTCACTGTGATAGGATGTATCACTAAAGACCCTATCTCTCATCTCAAAGAAACTGGTTCCACTTGTTGATTATTTCTAATTAAAAACCTGCATTCACTGTTCTGTTGTAGGATTCTCTCTTTATGTTCTCCCCCTCCTTAAAACACAGATGGCGGTGGAGAACTTCCAACTTCAGTTGGTATTTCAGACACAGATTTACAGATTCTACACCTGAATGAGATCCTTCAACCCCTGTCTCCTCCTGCCATTACAGTAATACCAGTTCCTCCATTGTAATAAAACCATTGTGTGCCGATAGAAGAGCTATGTCAACCAGATGGTGTTACATTTCACAACAATATCTTAGTTGTGTGCCAGCAACACAGACTTTCCCTTTTCCCCCCAGTAAATTCTTTAAGGTTATGATATCTCCTCTTTCCCCTCAAAGCAACTTTGAATGTTGTTTATGTATTTTATTTGGTGATTAGCTGCTTGTATTAATGTGATACAGATTTGCCAAAATCAAGGTTCATTTGTTACAATATTATATAGTGGAGTGTATAAATTATAAATTCACACATCAATTTTATTGCTCTATGATGTTTTGCTATTTTAAAATACTTGTTATATAAATTCGTTCCCTAAGGTATGTCGGTTTCAAGTGAGTCTAGGCCATCTTGTAATGAGAACAAGGGTGACTTGGACATGAGCTATTTTTTTTTCCTGAGTCATCTTGTGGTGGCATCTGACAACTATAGTGAAGCAGCAGAGTTCATAGCTAAGCATCCTAGATCAGGCCATCCTAGATTATGATTTGGAAGTCATACTACCTGCTTCTGCTGCAGAGACCAGAACAAAATTACACAAGGCTTGTTTATAAGATTGAGTGATATAGTATAATCTGGCTATGCAACTGATGTTTTATAGAGCCAGGAGTCTCACTTATGTAAAAATTGGCAGCTTGAAGCTCAACTTTCTATTGTTTTCCCTTGTAAGCTGAACATGCTGATTTATTGGGATAACTCATGCTTTCCTCCTTTTTTTTTTAATGCCAATGTGTAGTTTCCAAGTTTTTAAAATTCTCATTAGGGAAATGAAGCAGAAGTTTCAAGGAGATTTGTAATAAATCACGGACCTCACTACATTATTAGCTTTCAGAGCAGAAATTTGTTGCATTCTGAATCTGATTTCTATCTTTATTAAGTAGAACTTTTCCAACATTCTTTCTTGGTTTTATTTTTTTGTTTTGTTATTCTTGAAGACTTGCTGACACCTCTTGGGAAAACTACAAAATATTGAAAAATGACTATTTCATGTGCTTTTGATGTTTTCACTAAATACATTGCATAAAAACTGAAGTCTTGTTCCCACAGTTGCTCTGTTCCTCTTGACTCCCACCTGATGACACACCAACTAACTGCAGTGCAGATGGATTTGATGTTACTCTAAAAGATTATAATCTTGGGTAGCAAACAAGCTGCATGAACAGGTGGAGTCTTGAGAAACAAAAAGATTAATCTTCAGAACACTTAGTAGAAAGGAGCAGATAAAGAAGTCACTGAAAATCTGACACATGAGGAATTCTTTCTAAGCAGAATGTTACTGAGTTTTCCATGAGATGTTGGTAGGTTTTTAAAAAGGGACTTAAAGACAGTAAATACATACAAATAAGGCTTGCAATCATTAAAACTTAATAAAAAAGACTTAGAAAATATTTTCTTAATGCTTAGTGACTGCTGTTTAAAAATATGTGGTTTTCAACCTTATCTATGAAGCCAGGAATTTGATGGTTCCATAATATTACTGTTAATATGAATTAACCCCCCCCCCCATTTTTTTTTTTCAAAATTAGTGGAATTC